TCTTTTCTGTACCAAGTGGGTTACTTTCCAGAAAAATAAAGGATGTTCGAGCCCTTCCATGTAAAAGGATCAACTGAGAAAAGGCAGTGTTTGTTTGAAAACATTTTGCTGGAAGGGAAGAAAATTATTTGCAGAAAAACTAGGAGGAGTTGGTTAGAGCTTAAACTGAGAGGGAAATGTAACCAAACAGAACCAAGTTCAGTAAAGATTTTGCAATTCATGAGGAAGAGGTAACTCACGGTTATCAGGAATGTTAGTATTGCATGAAAATAAAATGTCGAAAACTTCGCGGTGGTTTGAATGTGTCCCCCAAAGTCCATGTGTTGAAAATAGAATCCCCAATTGAACAGTGTAGAGATGTGTCCTCTAAGAGGTCACTCGGTCATAAGGGCCCTGCTCTCATGGATCACTGACCTCATTATCGCAGGAATGCGTCCATGATCCTGAGAGTGGGTTTACTGTAAAAGCCATTTCAGCCCTCTCTTGTTCACTCATCCTCTTACCCTGTTTTCTCACCCCCGCCTTCTGCCATGGGATGACACAGCACAAATGTCCTCACCAGATGAGGGCCCCATGATCTGGGACTTTCAAACCTCCAAGACTGAGCCAAACAACTTTGTGTTTTTTATGAGTCACTCAGTCTCAACTATCCTGTTACAGCAACAGAAAACAGCCTAAGACACACCCATATAATCCTCCCTGAATAAGTGGGATTGCGTGGTGAAGCCACAGAGAAAATGACTCAGAGGGGAAACACCTCACCCCTCCTTTACCACCCTACACAAGCAGGGAGCTGAAAAGATTGCCTTTCAGAGTTCTCAAAAAGCCCTCTGAACAGTCTGGTTAAGACCATGCCTTCTTCTGACTGGGGGTCTTTTTCGTTAAGGCTGCTATGACAAAATACTGTAGACTGGGTGACTTATCAACAAAAGATGGAGCTTCTCACAGGTCTGGAGGCTGAAGTCCATGGTCAAGGTGCTGGCAGATTCAGGGCCTGGCCAGGATCTGTGTTCTGGTTCATAGACAGCTGTCCTCTCACTGTCCTCATGTGGCGAAACGGGCGTGCCATCTCTCTGGGGGCTGTCTTATCAGAAGCACTGGTGTAGTTTGGACGTTTGTCCCTCCCAAATCCCATGTTGAAGTCTGATCCCCATTGTTGGAGGTGGGGTCTAATGGGAGGTTTGGGGTGATGGGGTGGACCCCTCATGAACAGATGAATGCCCTCCCTGGGGACCAGTAAGGTCTTACTCTATGAGTTCCTATGACAGCTGGTTGTAAAAAAGAGCCTGGCCCCTCCCCTCCTTCCTGCTATTCACACGTGATCTCTGCACACACCAGCTCCCCTTCACTTCTTCCATGTGTGGAAGCAGCCTGAGGCCCTCACCTGAAGCCCAATCCTGAAACTTCCAGCCAGCAGAACTGTGAGCTGAATAAACTTCTATTTTCTATAAATTACCCAGCTTCAGGTTCTCCTTTATAGCAACAGTAAATGGACAAATGGACCAAGACCAGCTCTAATCTCCTTCCTGTGGCTCTACCCTCATGACCTAATCACTTCCACAGGACCACCTCCAAATGTCACCACCTTGGGGGTTAAGGCTTCACATGTGACCTTGACGGGGATGTGAAGATTCCACCCACTGCACGGGTCAAAGGGAGCTCACAGCAGCAAGGTCATTCTCACAACAGTCAGCGCTCTGGGGCTGCTCACTGCCCCTCACTCCTAGACCTGCCCACCCCAGCCAAGGCCTTCATGCTGCTCTGGGCTACCTCTCCCAGGTCCTGCAACCCAAGCAGAGGGGCTGGCTCAGATGGGATCTCCTGAGATTCACCCTCTGCCCCTGCACCACGACGGCCACGTCCTTGTCAAGTTCTTCTCTGGGAAAATGTGGGAGTCACATAGAGACTTGTACCTACCTGTGCAGAGGTTTCCCACAGCCTCATGTCACCCCCCTCCATCTCATCGTTGATTTTTGGCTTCAGTCTCGCCTTCTTGGTGACGTCTTTGTCCCTGTGTCACTCTAATTGAAGTAGCACGCCAGCCCCCACTGTCCCTCTCTATCTCACCCCTCTGTTTCAGTTTCTTCAGAACAATTGTCACCAGAGCAAGTACCTGAATTATTCACTCATTTTGTGGTGTGTTTTCATATTTAATGACTGATTTCTCCAACACTAATCACCACATCTAGAAAGCTCCTAGTATGTAGTCAGTGCTCAATAAATATTTGCGAAGTGAATGAAATTATGCTCTGAGCATGGCCACCGTGGGTAAGTTTTTCAGTGCTCTGTTCTCATTTTCTGTGATCTCCAAGCTGTTTATAAATCCTTATGAAAGGTTGTGTTGGCTATGTATATACATCTAATCCCAGTCATGGGGTGTATCTTTCCCTAGGCTACAGCAGAGCAGGGGAGGGAGGAGGAGGGACGCTGAGCACAGGAGAGTCAGTCAGGCTTGACCCTGGCCCCAAGTCCTCAATGGGGTATCAGTGAAATACCACCTCCTGTAGTTCAGGCTGATGGCGTGGGAACACTGTGTTATGGAAGTGTCAGTGTTCACTGAGGTAGATAACTAGAACACATGAAAACTTATCTGTTCCTGGGATAATTCTTCAATCTCATTAAGGCTTCTTAAGCAGTCACAAGATTGAAGCCACTTTGCCAGAGGTTAGGATTAATAGGTGGGGCTAGATAGCCTACCTATAGTTCAGTCCTAGAAATATTTACTGAGTATCTTTTACATGGAAATCGGTGTTCCTAGTATTTTTTTTAAGTCAGGCATGTACAAATAAGTCCATTAGTTCCACATGGGCTTTTGTGAGGCTATATCTTCACGTCTTTCCCTGGGCTGGGACTAAAACAAGAGCCTTTTGTGAAACAAGGACGTGGGAGTGATGGTATTAGGGCAACTGCATCGTGACGGAAGAACACCCGAGACTGGGTAACTGACAAAGAAAGGGGTTCACTTGGCCCTTGGTCTGCAGGCTGGACATGAAGCATGGTGCTGGCATCTGCCTCTGGGGAGGGCCACAGTGAGCTTACAGTGCTGGCAGAAGTAAGGGGGGAGCCCATGTCTCACACCACGTGAGTGGGAACAAGAGAGCGAGGGGGCAGGTGCCACACACTTTACACAGCCGGGTCTCCCAGGAACTCACAGCGAGAACTAACTCATCACAAGGGGATGGCGCTGAGCCATTCATGACAGATTCACTCCCTGATCCAGTCACCTCCCCCCAGGCCCTGCCTCCAGCACTGGGGATTACATCTTGGCATGGGATTTGGAGTGTACAAATATCCAAACCGTATCAGTAGCTATTGCTGAATTTGGAAACCCCGGTCCCAGGGATAAACACCTTCCCAAACTGTGGCCTAGAAGACCAAGAGAGGATTTCCTGTCTCTGGGGCAGGGATCACATGAGGGAAAGTATCAGGTGTTTGAGTGCCAATGGCTCTGCCATTCGTAGATTGTAACACATGATCAGAAGAGTGCAGCAGATGGACTATCCAGCTTTGCTAAGGTTGCAGAGGTTGGTCTGAGCTGGGAGTCCACATTCTTCACCAAGGTGTTACTCAGAATCCATGCCAAGGGACCTGTGCTTGCTGAAGGGGGATAAGCCAGAAGGTGAAGACATGCCAACTTCCGAGAGCACAGCTCCCCTTTAATACCAAAAAGCTTGCTGCCTTCAGCACCCCAAGTTTTCTCCTCTCCCAGCCTTGGATGCTCTACATGTGTGAACTGCAGGAAAAGAGGAGGCACCCAGCATCCAGAAGAGCAGTCGGGAGTAATTAGGACCTGCTTAAGACATGATTTAAGCCACCTGCTTTAAGCCCCAGGGTGACCCCCATCCCCACCCCTGACAGAATGGAATCCGCCATGCAGCTGCTTGTGCCTAAAATTGTCTCCATTTCTGGAGACCATGTTGGCCAGGCTGGTCTTAAACTCCTGACTCAAGTGATCTGCCCACCTCAGCCTCCCAAAAGTGCTGGGATCACAGGCATGAGCCACTGCTCCCAGCCTCCTTTTAGCATTTCTTATGGAAAGAATATAGTGAAATGAGGAATTGGAGGTTATAGAATTTTGTTATATCCCATGTGTTCCCGATTTAAGCTTTAAAAAATTCTGAGTAACATTTTAAAATATGGTTTTTGTGAAAATGAAGGGTAAATGAGTGGAATAAGCCTGTGGCCGATTTGCTATTTATAAGTGACTGTTCTAATTATTATTTCACATCTTGGAAAAAACTTCATGCATGCTAAAAAAATGTGAAATTCTTTGGCATTACATACTTGACTAATAATTTGAAAAAACATATTAATCTTTGATTTTGTTGATCAGTTTTACAAGATGTGAAATCATTACTTAGTCTAGGAACAAAGAGCTTTGTTTGAGGCATGCTAAGCGTGAATGTCCATTAGGTGCTGATGCAGAGCTGCAGACAAGGCGATGTTTCACTCTGGAGTTTCAGAGAAAAACCTGAGTTGCAGATATTGATTTGTGGTTTCCTGGCTTAGAGGTTGTATTCAAAGCCATGAGAATATTTTATGTCATCAAGGAAATGAGTGAAGACAGAAAACAGTACAAAGATCACCCAAGGGTCCTCCAAAGATTACAGCCTCCCCCAGTTTCAGGAATGAAATCATTTCAGGAAATATCGTGGACTAGGAAACTTGGCAGGATATTTCTGAGCTGAAAGATGTGGGTTAAGGAAGCCCCTTTGATGGGGTTCAATCAGTGGAGGGTGAAAGCATTGGAAAACGTGCACATAAACGTTATGAACACCTGTCAGTCTCAAAGTGCTTTGGCCAGAAGCCCATGACATTGTCCTTACTTTTCAAAAAAGTTGTCTGGAATGAAATTGTATGTTGTCGACTAGCTGATTCAATTTTTACCCCTACAAACTATACGAGCAATTATGTCTTTGTAAGAATTATTCCTGAAGGTTATAGAAGTTTGAAAGCACCATGCTATTGTATATACACTGTTTTCCAAAGAGTTTTGAAATTTTTGATAGTTTATTAGATGTATTATTTGCAATTTTGAAATTCATTTGACAATGACATGTTATGGCTTTGGGATATTTTATATTAGTAAGTGTGCCTTTTTAAATGTATGAAATATTTCAAAAGACTGAGTAGAACAAATTAATAGTATATTTTTAGAGCCTCATAGTATTTGCTCTATATGGAGCTGATAATCAGAAGAATGTGACCAGTCAATGATGTCTTTGATGTCCTGCCTCCACCACAGCCCAGCAAGGTCACTGCTGATACTGGGCACACTTAAGAGGTCAAGGCTTGGATCTCAGCCTTAAAATAATATGGGAAGTTTCCTTTTATGCACAAGATGTAATAGACAAAAGAGCATGTGCCTGTATTTCCCAAGCAGAGATGTGCTAGACTCCCTTCTCCTAGCCTTCCCCGTATCTGACTTCTAATTACTTCTCCTGGACGGTGTCCTCCACCTCCCTAAGCATTACCCCACAGGAATGCTTCATCTGCAGGTTGCTGGAGCTCCAATTCTTGTGAAGCTAGAGGGAAGCCATGGATTGTTGGTCCTCCTGTCAGTATGGCTCGCCTTTTAGGCTCTATGTTGTGTGCTTTCTTCTTTCTAAAAGAGCTGAAGACAGACTAATTGATGAATACCTGTCACTTGCTCCTCCTCTAGAGGCCGAACATTCTACCCACTCTCACCTCAAAAATGCCTTTAAATAATTATCATCATCCACTCCCCGCCCCAAACTTACAGGCAAATCATAGTTTTTGGCCCTAATGAACTAGAAGGAAAAGAAACACACAAGTAACAGAGAAAGGAATAGGAAAAGAATCTTTAAGGAAAAATATTCCATTATTTTAAGATGATACAAATGGGTTGTCTTGGCTTTCTGGCCTATGGACATATCTGGCTAACTAAAGTTTAGTTGCCAAGCAGAAGGGATTTAACCAGAGGCGATGTTTCTAGTCACCAGCACAGAGACATCCTCTGCATCACCATCCTCAGGCAGGGCCTTCTGTAGACATCGTGCAATGCCTTCCATGTTAATATTCATCTGAAAATGGATAATCAGGGTGGCCTGCAAAACTGAAAAGAGAAATAACAGCACATAATATGAAGGAAATGACTCTATTAAAAAGGTGGTAGGGAAGTGATTTCTATGAAGCTGCCATTAGTGTGAATATGAAGAAGTTTATTTTCTGACTAGTTGTAGAATCTCTGTCTTTTATGAACATGACTTTATAATATGGGTTTTTTTTCAAAATAAGGAATTATTCAACTTATATTCTCTTGCCTGGAATTTATCACATAAACCACACAGGGTTAATTGTTCAAACATAGTCCTCCGTATCTGTCAACAGAGTAGAGAGACATTCTGATCTTTTCTGTTTCAAATTCTCAATGAAATCAGGAACTTATCCTGCATTGCTTTGAATAGAAATAAGCCAGCTACATTTCATCACAAATAAAGTTTTGAGTGTTAAATGTTATTGGTAGCAATCATACATCCTTTAAAAAATATGTTCATTACGGACTAGCTGCTTACCATATTGAAAATATTTTCTTTGATTCAGACATGTAAATTGTGATATGTGATATGGGGTTCCATATCCAAAACTCTACAATATGCTCAGGGCAGTTTTTAGGTGGAAATCACACAAAATAGAGTGATGAATAAATGATTCATCAATATTAAATAATTGATTGATGGTGAGAATTGCTGAGGCTTGCCACTCTTCCTTTCCTTTTCATGATTTCCTATTTTACTCTTTTCCTCTAATGAAAATATAAGCAATGATATCTAAAAATGTTTGAGTTCTTATGATGTGCCGCTGTGCTTATCCTTTTTAATACATTATCTTATCATGTCTATTACCTGTTAATATCTCCACTGCAAGCAGTGACATAAGTTGTTTTTCCCTCATCACATGAGTGCCTTTCTGTGAATCCTAGAAGCTTGGAGCATGTAGAAAGAGTAAGATCTTTTGTCAGCTATGTATTATCTCCAAAGATGAGGCTTTCCAACTCTTCCCTTGATGTTTTTTTGTTTTCTTTTTTTTTTGTTGTTGTTTTTTTTTTGAGACAGAGTCTTGCTCTGTTGCCCAGGCGGGAGTGCAGTGGCACAATCAGCTCACTGCAACTTCCATCTCCTGGGTTCAAGTGATTCTCCTCCCTCAGCCTCCTGAGTAGCTGGAATTACAGGTGTGTACTCCCACTCCCAGCTAGTTTTTGTATTTTTAGTAGAGACAGGGTTTCACCATTTTGGCCAGGTTGGTCTGAAACTTCTGACCTCAAGTGATCCACCTGCCTTGGCCTTCCAAAGTGTTGGGATTATAGGCGTGAGCCACAGAGCCTAGCTCTTCTTTTGATTTTTAATCTGTCTCCTCTAAAACTTCATTATAGTCTGCATTAAGATTTCCATATTGCAAAAACTCAAAGCCAAGAGTTCTATTGCCCACTAAGGGCAAACTTTCTGGAGGCAAAATGGTGTTTGGGTCATTATCAAATGTCTACAGAGAAGGAAGAAAGAAATTGAAATTATTGAAGATATTGAATTGACATGATCTAGTGAGCAATTCCATATGGAAGAGATATGAATTTCTGGCATGGACATCAATGTTGTTGGAAATTTTTATCTGATAAGGAACTGAGCAGGTTTGGAAGGATAAGCTATAAGTACAGATTTGGAAAACCATCTAATCAGGCCATATGAGCAATATCTCCAGTTTGTCCACTAGGCCATAGCAGAAATGCCAGGCCTATGTGAAAGGTGCAGACACAGCAATAATATCGATTACTCTGAAAAGTTTAATGAAGTCAGGGGAGCAGGGTCAGGTTAACCCATGCTGACCCTGGGCCCACTACCCTGTCAGAGAACAGAGCTCTGGAGTGAATCCAGAAGGAGAGTTCCAGAAAATTCCTGTCTCACCTCTCACTCTGGCCCCTGTCTCCCTGGTACTGAGGTCACTTTAAACGCTCAACTGACATTCCTTCTCTAAAAATAAACTGAGCAACCCCTTTTCCAAAGTTACTTACAAATCCAAGACAATATATCGAAAATTTCTGTTTAGGCCATCTAGAACTTTCATATCCTCTGAAGTCAACTGGAATTCAAAAACCTACCAAAGAAGAAAATTTTTATTGTTGTTAGATTGCATAGTTGTCAACTTGCAATAGCCAAATATATCAGAGAGTAGGGTGTAGAGGCAATACTTAAAATATTTGATAAGTTTCCAAAAGTTATAAAGACATCTCTAAATTCTCAAGTGATTAAAGAATATCAGGTAAAATATAAAGTAAATCCATTCCTAGATAGTATATGTTGAAACTGCACAACACTGCAGACAAAGTGAAGATCTCAACAGAAACTAGAGATGGAACAAAGTTGACCTTGTGTGCACATGATTGGTTCATGTACTTAGAAGATTCAGAAGAATCTAAAGGAAAATTTTGAAACTTATAATTTAGACAGTTTGATGGTGATACAATTTGGCTATTTGTCCTCTCCTAATCTCAGGTTGAAGTGTGATCCCCAGTGATGGAAGTGGGTCCTGATGGGAGGTGTTTGTGCCATGGGGGCATCCCTCACGAATGGCTGGGTGCCCTCCCCATGGTAATGAGTATTTGCTACATTAGTTCACATGAAACCTGGCTTAAAAATGGTTGACATTTTATCTTTTTTTCCCTCTTATTACATCTCTTGCTATTTTATATGCTTGCTCCTCTGCCACCTTCTACCATAAGTAAATGCTTCCTGAGGCCTCACCAAAACCAAATGCTGGTGCCATGTTTTTTGTACAGTCTGCAAAATGGTAAGCCAAATAAACCACCTTTCAGTATATTTTATCCAGCCTCAGGTATTTCTTTATAGCAGCGCACAATGGACTGATACAGAAAACTGGTACCAGCAGTGGCACATTGCTAAAAATGGCTGAAAATGTGGTGATGGCTTTTGAACTGGGTAATGGGCACAGTTTGGAAGTGTCAGGAGGGTTCAGAAGAAAATGAGAAGGTAAGGGATCGTTTGGAACTTGCTAGGCATTGGCTAAATGATGGTGACCAAAATGCTGATAAAAATGCGGACGATGAAGTCTAGAGCAATGAGATCTAAGATCAAAATGAGAAATTTATTAGAAACTGGAGCAAAGTTCACCCTTGTTATACTTTAGGAAAGAACCTGGCTGCATTGTGTCCACTCTAGGGGTTTGTGAAAGTCTGAACTTAAGAGTGATGACTTAGGGTAACTGGTGGAAGAAATTTCTAGGCCGGAAAACATTCAACAGGTAGCGTGGCTGCTTCTAAGAGCCTATGATCAGATATGGGAGCAAAGGAATTACCTAATGTTGAAACTTAAAGCTTCCTGAAACCTCTCCAGGATAAGATACTGGTGCTAAGCTTTTTTGTACAACCTGCAAATTGTGAGCCAAAGATACCTCTTTTCTGTATAAATTGCCCAGCATCAAGTATTCCTTTACAGCAGCACAAAACAGACTAATACAGATGGATATTGTTAGATTTCTGTTTCTACATTTGCCTCGATGACATAAACACCTTCCACTAGACCCCACTCCCATCATTGGGGATCACATTTTAACATGAGATTAGAAGACGACAAATATCCAAATTGTATCACCATCAAACTGTCTAAATAATAAGTTTCAAAATTTCCCCCTAGATTCTTCTGAATCTTCTAAGTACATGAACTAATCACGTACACATGGGTTAACTTTGTTCCATCTCTAGTTTCTGCTGAGATCCTCTCTTTGTCTGCAGAGTTGTGCAGTTTCACATCAGATACAGAAATGCTGAAATCCAACATCTGTCTGTATTTCCATCTTCAACGGACAGGTATAATGTGAAAAAAAAAAAAAAAAAACTGTTTCAACAAAATCCAAGACAGTAATTGTCCAAATACTAATAATGTCATGCTCAAAGAACACAAGTAGTTGTTTGAAAAGGATCTCAGTATTCAAATTGGAGAGAATTTAAATATCAAAAAGATGTCACTAATTGCTAACATATAATACTAAATTGCTAAATAAATTTATTGGAATACTCTAATGATACAGAGAATGAGAGAGAGAGGAAAAAAGAATAAAGATGTCATGAATTTAACAATTGATGAATCTAGGTAAGAAGCATTCATTGTATTATTCTTAGAATATCTGCATAGATTAGAAAATTATCAAAAAGGAAAAAGTTATCCAAAGACTAAAATTATAAGTTTTCTATGAATAAATCTAGGAAAACGTAAACAAATGCCTTAATAAAGAATACTATGTAACTAATTGAAGTGTGTATTAAAATATGTGAATAACTGAATATTCATATGGTCGTAAACTGGAAATTTCAATAGTCAAATAATCACTTTTCACCAAATTGTTCTGCAGTTTCAGAGCAGTTTCAGCCAGAGAACAAAAGATTAGCTCTTTTGTAGAAGTTGATAATACTGAATGTTATATAACAGAACATTCCTTAAGGACTAGCCAAGACATTATTATATAAGAGAATAAGCCAGAAAAATACTTATACTATTCTGGTAATAAGACTTTCTATTCAACATAATTTAGACAGTACGGAAAGTTAATAACTCAAAAGAGGAGAAATGTCAGAGAAGTACTTATGGACACTTTATGATGGGATGAAAAATCAAGATATGTGAGCAGATATGGATTTTTCAATAATTCTTAGGACATTTTAATATCAAGTGAAAATTATGTATATGCACATTTGCATCCTTATTTCACATATTAAAAATCAATTTGTTATCCCAATTTATGAAAGCACTTTAATGCTTTTGTAAGATATTAATAGAATATCGTATATTGCTTTACTATGTATTACTATATATGTAATATTTTACTATATAATAACATAGTAACGTATTGTCATGTTTCCAATATAGGAAAAGATACAGTATTATCAACTATAAGAAAATGTCATGAAGAATTTGAGAATTAAGAGTAGAAACTTTTGTTTATTAAATCAAACATAAAGAGAATCAAAACATGGGTATATTTTGGGAGAGGTTATTTCAACAATACATATGAATCCCTAAAGAATTAATATCCAGAATATGAATTTTGGATTAATTCTGCAGAGTGGCCTCATTGCCTTGCACACACATGAGAGAGCCCAGCCAGGAACAGAAGGACTAGACTTAGCTCAGGTGGAGCTTAGGCTAAATTTCAAACCATAGAATTGTCAGTTAAATACATAGTTTTGCATTGAACCTCTACGATGAGGGGTTTTCTTTTATAATTTTACTTAATTATGGTCTTCTACACATAGGAAAAGACAAGCATCCTAATAAAAATACCTAAAGACTTCAATAGGCACTCAAAAAAAATTCTAAGAGAATAAATATGTGAAATTTATACTGAGTTAACAAGGACATGAAAAAAAAAAAAACTGCAAAGATTTGAAGACTAGAGAACACCTAACCCAACTCCTCATTTGAGAAAATGAAGAAAAGGTGATGTCTCTAGCAGAGGGATAGAGAATAAGTTGCCACCTTTATGTTGAAACCAAAATTTCTGGTTTTGGTCCCATCCTGATTCTCTTCACCCATGCTGCCTCTCCTGTGGTAGAGAAGAAAACCCTTAGGATGTACATAAAGCATTTCTGCATATGAAATGCCTGGAAAATGGACTTAGTCCAAGGGTGTCCTGAGAAGCTTATAAGAAACACGTGTGAAGGACACAGTGCAGGAGCCCTGATGCCCACAGCCCCGCTCCTCACCTGCACGTTCTCTCTGATCCGCTGCTCATTGTAGCTCTTGGCCAGGACCACAACCCCACGCTGCAGCTGGTAGCGCAGGGCAATCAGGGCTGGGGATCGCTTGTGCTTTTTTGCCAAGGCACAAAGAACTGGGTCCTCCAAGAGAACTGGGGAGTTTAGGTCCATCCTGGAAGGAAAGCCAGAAATGCTGAAGTCTTGAGACTGGATTCAGTTTGGTAGGAGGCTCCTTAAACAGACTAAGGCATTCATTATGTACCAGATCTTCTCAAGTGAAGCCCCTGGCCAACGGTAGCAGCCTCATCTGGGATCTTGTAAGAGATGCAAATTCTCCTCTTACCCTGACTCACTAAGAGTGAATTCCAGGGGACTGAGTATGCTATAATTAAAATTTTTCATCAAAACGGTATTTCAGGTAAACTTCCTGTTGCTTTTATTACCATAGTTCAAGTCGTTGGGTTCCCAGAGCACTATAGGCAACCAGAACAATGTCTTTTGACTTGCAGAAATCCAGCAGTTTACTCTGGTTGAGATAGGGATGACATTCCACCTGCAGATGATCAAGACAGAAAAGCATCAGATAATTCAAAACAATTATGTTAATATAAAAAGATTAAAATAAGCTGAATAAATAATATGTAACATTAAATTTGAACTGAGAATATTACTGTCAAGTAATGATCTTTCTCATAAAAATAAATTTTATACTGATGTTTCCTAAAAGTATACATAGAAATGTTATTTCTGAGCACAAGCAACTCTGTGAACCAGAGCCAGGTTCTAAAAACCTCTGACCACTTGAAGTGCACATGGCCAATTCTGGACTTGGGATAGGGTAAGGTTCTAAGCTTTGAACATCAAAGTGTGCCAGAAAGTAAGAATTTCTTCAAAGATTTCTGAGGGCAGGATTAAAAGACAAAAGTAGTAGTTTTATAGGAATCTCAGTAGTAATGTTTGTATAGATTTGAACATCAGAAACCAATAATGAGTAAAATCAATTGCAAGTTATAGCAAAACAATCCATGTGTTCATAGTGTTGAGTTGTTAAAAGAGAGGGTGATCAAAAGTATTTGCCTCCACCAATGGTGATTGATATGGTTTGGCTCTGTGTCCCCACCCAAATCTCATTTTGTAGCTCTCATAATGACCACATGTTGTGGGAGGGGCCCAGTGGGAGATAATTGAATCATGGGGGCCGGTCTTTCCTGTGTTGATTTCATGATAGTGAATAAGTCTCTTGAGATCTGATGGTTTTAAAAATGGGTTTCCCTGCACAAACTCTCTCTTTGCCTGGTGCCATCCATGTAAGATGTGACTTGCTCCTCTTTGCCTTCTGCCATGATTGTGAGGCCTCTCCAGCCATGTGAAGCTGTAAGTCCTTTAAACCTCTTTTTTCCCCCCAGTCTTGCATATGTTTTTATCAGCATGTGAAAATGGACCAATATGAAACTTGGTACCAGTAGAAAGGCACGTTGCTGAAAAGATACCAAAAATGTGGACGTGACTTTGGAAATGGGTGACAGGCAGAGGCTGGAACAGTTTGGAGGGTGCAGAAGAAGACAGAAACATATGGGAAGGTTTGGAACTTCCTAGAGACTTGGTGAATGTCTTTGACAAAAATGCTGATAGTAATATGAATAATAAAGTTCAGGCTGAGGTGGTCTCAGATGGAGATGAGGAACCTGTTGTGAACTGCAGCAAAGGTGACTCTTTTTATGTTTTAGCAAAGAGGTTGGTGGCATTTTGTCCTTGCCCTAGAGATTTGTGGAACTTTGGACTTAAGAGAGATGATTTAGGGTATCTGGTTAAAGAAATTTTGACACAGCAAAGCGTTCAAGAGGTGACTTGGGTGCTGTTAAAAGCATCCAGTTTTAAAAGGGAAACAGCATAAAACTTCAGAAAATTTGCAGTCTGATGATGCAGTAAAAATTAAAAACCCATTTTCTGAGAAGAAAGTCAAGCTGACTGCAGAAATTTGCATAAGCAACAAAAAACCAAACGTTAATCACCAAGACAATGAGGAAAATGTCTTCATGGCATGTCAGATATGTTTGTGCCAGGCCCCCTCATCACAGGCCCAGAGGTGGAGGCCTAGGAGGGAAAAATAGTTGTATGGGCTGAGCCCAGGGTCTCAATCCTGTGTGCAGTTTAGGGACTTGGTGCTCTGCGTCCCAATCACTCCTGCAGAGACTACAAGGGGCAAAGGTACAGCTCAAGCTGTGCCTTCAGAGGGTTCGGAGGGTGCAAGTCCCAAGCCTTGGCAGCTTCCATGTGGTGTTGAGCCTGCAGTTACACATAAGTTAAGAATTGAGGTTTGGGAACCTCTGCCTAGATTTCAGAGGGTGTATAGAAACACCTAGATGCCCAGGCAGAAGTTTACTGCCAGGCCCAGGCTCTCATGGTGAACTTCTGCTAGGGCAATGTAGAAAGGAATTCTGGGGTCAGAGCCCCGCCATAGAATCCTTACTTGGACACCACCTAGTGGAGCTGTGAGGAGAGGGCCACCATCCTCCAGACCCCAGAATGGTAGATCCACTGACAGCTTGCACTGTGCACCTAGACAACTGCAGACATTCAATGCCAGCCCATGAAAACAGCCAAGAGGGAGGCTGTGCCCTGCAAAGCCACAGGATGGAGCTGCCCAAGAACATAGGAACCCACTTCTTACATAAGCATGGGTGTGAGTGGAGTCACATTGACTCTTGGATGTGAAACATGAGGTCAAAAGAGATCATTTTGAAGCTGTAAAATCTGGCTGCCCTGCTGCATTTTGGACTTGCATGGGGCCTGTAGCCCCTTTGTTTCACCCAATTTTTCCCACTTGTAACATCTGTATTTACCCAATGCCTATACTCTTGTTGTATCTAGGAAGTAACTAACTTGCTTTTGAGTTTAGAGGCTCATAGGTGGAAGGGACTTCTCTTGTCTCAGATGAGACTTTGGACTGTGGATTTTTGAGCTAATGCTGAAAGGAGTTAAGACTTTGGAGGACTGTTGGGAATGCATGATTGGTTTTGAATTGTGAGGACATGAGATTTGGGAGGTCCAGGGGTTGCATGATATGGTTTGGCTATGTGTCCTCACCCAAATCTTATCTTGTAGCTCCCATAATTCCCATGTGTTGTGGGAAGGACCTAGTGGGAGACAATTAAGTCATGGGGAGGATCTTTCCCATGCTATTCTTGAGATAGTGAGTAAGTCTCATGAGATACGCTGGTTTTATGAAGAGGAGTTTTCCTGCACAGGTTCTCTTTCTTTGCCTCATACCATCTATGTAAGACATGACTTGCTCCTCCTTGCTTTCTACCATGATTGTGAGACCTCCCCAGCTGTATGGAACTATAAGTCCATTAAACCTCTTTTTCATCCCAGTCTTGGGTATGTCTTTATCAGCAGCATGAAAATGTACTAATACAGTGATTATTACAGTAATTTCTTTTCTGGGACATGAATAATTAAAGGGGAAGAGTTAAGCTTTTAGCATGTTTGGAGTAATTGAGTAATTGTTTCTCCTCTTGGTGAAAAAATTTTTTTTCATAATAAAATGTAAAGTCAGAATAGTAAAACCTATAAAGTTGAAAGTAATTACTTTAAAGCTACATGGAAAGAACAAATACAATAATAATAATACAATACAAAAATCTGAAACATCATTGATGTATACTCAATTACTATGTGGAAATTTGTAATGGAATATAATTTTCCCTCTTGATAATTATTACCCAGCAGATTACTAGTAACTGCAAAAGGGAAAACACATGTCTATGAAAATTAGATCTGGCTGTCCTTTGCTTAATCAAGTGATCAAAATTAGCATCACTAATTGTGGGGCAATTTGTCATTTCATGCTGTTGGGAATACTGTGGTATAATTTCAGGGATACAGCAAGGTAGAGACAGCTTCTCACAAAAAATGTTTAACTTTGATGATATAAAGCATTCAAGTATAACTTCTAATCTACAGAAACTTGCCTTTTAAAAACTTGGAACAACAAGTTAACTGATCAAAGTACAACAAGCTGAAAGTCACAATTGGATTTGTGTGTGTGTGTGATATACCTTTTATTTATTTACTCTTATTTAACATTTCCCATTGTTTTAGAATTTTCTTTGTAGAGGTCATATCTTTTATTAGGTATAATTTCAGGTACTTAATATCTTTTTATATTGATGGTATCTTTAAATTTTTTCATCTTCTGTTTCTGGTTAAAATATAAGAAGTATAACAGACCTTTCAATAAAACCATGGGAAATCTGAATACGCATGGGTTAGTCAATGAGATGAGGGCATTATTGTAATTTCCTTATATACAATAATTGTACTGTTACTGGGAGAATATCTTCATCTCTATGCCACACTTCGAAAGGTCTGTAGAGTTAAATTGTGACCATTGCAATATACTTTGAAGAGATTCAACAAATACTACTTGTATTGATGCAGATATACTCACATATATACATGCCCATATATTTGCCAGGTTGGCAAAGTCAATAATTTTGGATACAGATGGTAACGTGCAGATGTCCTGAATTATCCCTTCAAATTTCTCTAAAATTTGAAAATTGTTATATTGAAAAAGAGTAAAACTAATATTAAAACCACATTAAATCCTTAACTTTTTAATTGAAATCATTTTATATTGTTATATTACCAAATACATAAATTTTAAATACTGCATGTTTCAACAGAACCATACACAGAATAGATGCGTCTAAACAGTTGAATTGATGACAGAAGGCAAAGAGGAGCATCAGAATAAGATGTGGGCCGTCACAAGGTGAGCTCAATATTCTGCTAAATTTTCCTCAGTGTTGATTTCATCCACCATAACTAGTTATCTCCATAAACAGGTAACTTTCTTTTTTTCACTCTTTAAAGTTTTATTTCACTAACTTTGCATCAAATTTTCACAATTATGTTTGTTCTGGTTAATTTACTATACTTGCTTGACTTCCCAAAATGACAGTACCAAAATATTTGGGGGCTAGGGAGAAGAGACCACTTGAAGCATCACTGCGTTTACTCATCTTCCACAAAGCCACAGAGTTGGGCGTCTGATTGTTCAATGAAATGAAGCTTTGACAGCACCCAGGGGGGCACACTGAAAAACTAAGCTGTAGACAGTCATGCATTTGTCAAGACCAGAGAAAATCTATTTCACATATACAGAAAAGGTATTGTATTCATCTTTTCTTTTTCTATTACTGCAGCATTTTTCTTCTTTTAATTATCACATCAGGGAGTTTCTCAATTCCTTCCTTAGTTCATGTCCTATGATTGCACAGATAGGCTGCAAATGCCAAGGAGTTGGCGAGCTCAGTTCAACCATTGCTAACAATTTCTCAGTTTCTGAGAGAGACAAGTTCCTCAAGTCTAGTTTCTTAGCACCCATATGTACAGGGATATTTTTATTTTCTTATATGCTAGTTATTTTGTAAAGTTCAGTTTTGACTTCTTCCATTCTTGCCACATCAACAGAGTCCACGGTAAGCACAAAGCCATCTGTGCATCTGGTATATGGCTTCTACAGCGTCCCTCATTTCTCCTGACCACCTCTATCCCAGGAGCGGAAAGTGACTGTCTTAGAATTTTCCAAGGTTATCTTCATTTTCTCAGTGTTAGTTCGTTTGGTAGGTACGGTATTTACAAGTGTATTGAATTGCAGCCTGTATAAGACAGCTGCTCTTCCATCACAGTCCAAACATGAAATAACAATGTGGAGGACTGACATGAGGGCAGGCTGGCCAGGACAGTACTTTAGTCAGTTAGTCCACCCCCCATTTCCAGCTGCAAATAAGACCAAATTGAAATGCTTTCTTTTTTTGTGCTTTAGAACTTCTCTTCCTAGGTGGTCCAGCTATAAGACTCTCCTGTTGGAGTCTGGGTCTAAATGAGACAGCAGTGGCAGGCTTTACTACACAAGGCAGGGGTGGGGGTAGCACCCCATGTCCTTTCAGCTTCTTTCTCCAAGGAACCCTCATAAACAGGTGACTTCCTGTCTTTAATCTGGATGACTTTCATTGTTTCCAGTTACTTTTTACTACCTGCTCAAGAACTGTGAAAACGGTGATATCAACAAAAAGCGTTCAGACATCTAAATCCCATTTAAATCCATAGGATCTTCCTTCTTTTATTCTCTCTCTCCTGATTTACTGCTCATCCCATGTTTTCATGGCCTTTATGATTATACACAGTTTGCTCCAAATCATCTTGACCCATCCACTCTCCAGTGGTCTTTCGTAACTTAGAGATAAGTCCGTCCACCTTCTCCCTGAGTTCTGATTAACCATTTCAGTCAGTCCTTCTTGATGAAATTTACCTCCAGCAAAAATATTAAATACAATTCAGCATAAAGTTCTCTGTACCTTTTTCCACTAAGTCTTCTCCAAGGAGAGGCACAATTAAGGGTCTTCCATGTTCTTCTACACAAAGTCTTTCTTTTTTAAATCTTCCGTTTCACAAAGGTAAGTAGAACAGCACAAATGGAAGCCAGGCAGCAGGACAGGAAGATGGGCATTGAGAAGAGAAAGAAGAGGCTGAGGGCGCTCACCTGGTTGCAGACGGGCTTGTACCTGAGCCCTGGCTTGTTGAGGATCATCTCCAGCTGCCTGCGGTTGAAGTTGGACACCCCGATGGACTTGGCCAATCCTGCGTCCTTACACTTCTCCATGGCCTGGGGAGAAAGCAGTTGTGAGAAATTATTTGTGCACATGGCTGCAGATTATGATAAATGCAAGACAGAACTGTTAACAACTGTTAAGAGATGACAATGAAAATTGCACTGATTCTCAGGAGAAAAATTACAACAGATAACAGAAAAGAATGGTGACAGCAAGAGGAAGAATTTCTGTGTCCTCTTTAGGAAACTGGAGAGATAAATGCACATGGAGGATGGGGAATACCCGTCTTCCTTGTCCCCAATTGATCTTCATTTCTCTCTATTCTTTTTCAGTCATGTGTTCTTCCCTATCACTCAGCAAAACCTCCTTTGTCAAGCTCCTTAGTTTCTAGATCCAGTGGTGCATATTCCATTCTCACACATGGAAGCTGGGAAACAGGTTGACCCCTTCTTGTCTTCCTTTTCTGTGCTCTCTCCTCCAAGCACTCACCTCCCATGTGGCACAGAGATCCACTGTGTCGAATATTACTTTTCCATTTTCATCTTTTGGTATTAGGTCCTCACCTGGCTGAAGTAGAAATAGGCATTTTAATTATGTCACAATTTAACTTCTCCAGCCATAGGCATGCTCCCAGGTACATTTTAGGATAATACTCCACCATGAGATAGGTGCTGCAATGTTCTAGAAAATGATATGAGCAAAATGTTTCACACATGGAATTTTAAGGAATGTCTTCCCTTAATCTCCTACTTCTATTATATGTATTAATACATAACCATTTTACAGGTTTTAATGGGGTTTCACGGTCAACTTTTGTTACTTTTGTCTGTTCCCATAATTTTCTCTGGGGAAATGCCTCTCTTTGACTGAAAAAGCCCTTCATATCCAGCAATAAGGGACTGTACTCTTGATCCAGGTGATACAATAACAGCTTCTTATCCCCGTGAAGACTTGATAGTCCATGGGCAGGATCATAAACTAAACATGGTCAAATGAAGTTCTTTTCAATATTAATTTGAAAGTTGTAAGACCGAGGGAGGCTCTCTTATGTTAATGACCACGAACTTGGAGCTGCCTCAAAGCTACCATTGCCACCAATGAAAAAGATTGGGACAAAAATCCAGAAAACCTCTTGGAGTGCATAGATAATTACGGAGAGAAGGTCACATTTTTAGAGTCCATGTCAAATCTTTAAATGTATACATGGCAGTGACTACCCATTTGCATCATGCAATACACTTTTAAATAAACTAGCCTGAGTTTTTTTTTATATACATTTGAATTAAAAGTTATGCACAATACAGAAATTCATGGCTAAGCAAAGCTACAAACTCCATTGTAAAAGAAACTTCAGTGAAAAAGGCAAGGATTATCAGGTCCCATTATGGTTTCCTTTTTAAGACTTATCCAGAGTGAATTCTACCAAATCTGTTTAAGCTTAAAACAGGGATAGATGATTGAAACTCACTGTGCATTACCTGTGCAGCAGTTTTTTTTTGGGGGGGGGGGGGAGAGGCACCACAGCTACATGAATTTCTGCAACTGTGCACATCCCAAGAGATGGATTCAGGAACCTTAATTAAGACAGGACCTTGAAGGTGGCTATTTTTATTTTCTCGAGTTTTTGAGGCAGAGGCTTTGAGGTTGATGTATTTTCTTCTGTTGTCATCATACATTAGAGAAGGAAGTTTTCACTATTTATTCAATAAAACATGGGTTGGGCATTATACATAGGATTCTTCTCCCATGTAATAATACCTACACCCTCCTAAGAAGAAGCTTCATTCAACCATCATCGTAAAGGATGGTCATGCTGACAACAGAAAAGAGATTTGATCCCACAAATTGCCTACCTTGAGAGCCACTGGGAAATGAATAAGATAAAGGTCAACATAGTCCAACTGAAGTTTTTTCAGCGAGCTTTCCAAGGCTGATTGGACCAACTCTGGTCGAAGGAAAGTGCACCAAAGCTGCAGAGTAAAAGAAAAGACTTGTGTTGACTAAAAACATGAGCTAATTGTATTAGTTTGCTCCACCTAATATTTAGACATTTTTCACCAGTCCACACTAATGACCCCTGGGAAAAAAAAATTCCCTTTGTGTGTTTTCTTCTGATATGACCTACCCATACGAATGCGATTATATATTGCATACATAGTTAGTACACCTGCAGAACAATGGAATTAAACTTTTCAATAGGTAAAAATTGATATCAAGAAATAATTATTCTAATTATCTGAATTGTGTTTGAGAGAATTTATAAAGCATTTGAACAGTCTAATTTTCTCATCCATTGAACCCAATGGATAAGAATAAGTATTCCTGTTGTTTAGAAAGTGGAGAGCAAAAGGTTTTTAACATGCTGACATGTGTTGAACACCATTCAAGACACTTTTGTTATCTGTTGTTTAATATTCATAGGGCTCTCTTACATTGCATCTCCCCTCCTCCTACACTCTTTGATGAAAAAGACAATTGAGATTAAGAATAATAAGATATTGAAGAAAGTTATTCCAGACATAAGAAAAGCTAAATATGATTATAGGTCTCTATGAGTCTGTAGTCTATGTTAAACCATCCTGATCTGTTTTTTCCCCCCAAGATTGTGAATTGGAGGCAGTGTTAGCATGTCTCTCCCATGGAAAGACAGAATAGTGTGTAGAGATTCACACTGCACGCTTTTTTCCAAGAAGCAATGCAGGAACTTAATAGGAAAACTAAAAGAATTCACAGACCCTTTGAAAGAAGTGGCGGGCTGCAGCTTACGCTGTGAGACAGATGAAAAATTGTAAGTGCCCAGAGTGAGAGAAGGGAAGGAACTGCCTCCAGAATCCCTTTCCCACCAGGGAATCTGAAAATCCAGGCCATTGGGAAGGCCTTAACCCTACCCAGACCCAGAACTGATTTAGGGAGATGTGAGAAATAAAGTAGAAGAAGCAGCAGTGGCAAGTGCCACAAAGGCATTCCCAATGTCCAGCATGGACTAAAGGAAGCCATTTCTCAGTTTATCTCACAAGGAATATCAGGGAAGTCAGCCAACCTGAACTGGGGAGTTCAGGCAGGTGTCACAGATTGGAAGAAGCTTCTAACTGAATTTCATGATATTAATATTATCCTGAGTGGGGATGAACTTCTTTTCCAGAACCCTGGGGGAAAGCAGGAAGTGTGCTGCAGACAAATGCAGAAGTCTGCCACTTGGCCTTGCAGGTGGATGCGGAGGGGCATAGCTTGAAAACCAAAGTTGCTATCTCCATAGGAAAAGCTTATGGCCATGGCAACTCTGAGTTCTGAACATGGGCTGCTTGGAACTTAGTCCAGTGCTCTTGGCAGAGCACCATGGGACTGAGAGCTGCCTTGACAACTCCATGCGATCTTGGTGAGGCTTACTGCCACCGTCTGCTCCCCACTCCCTGTGTGAATGCTTCTCTGCAGCAGAGGCAGTTATAGTTCCCTTTGGAACATTACCCCAGTGGTCTGAGAACCATCCCCTGACCCTCACAGCAGTGGTGGCTAGCCTCACTCCAGAAGAGTCAGAGTACATACCTGCCTAACCCTGACCAAACCTGGTTGTCCACCTCCACTCACCCTGGTAGCTTAACACACAAAAAATAAATTTTTGGAAAATATGGCCCTGTCCATCACCTGAGAAACCAGAATACCTCCCCAGGGGAACATAGGCAAGCTCAATTCTCACTGCTACTACCACAGCTGGTACTCTTTTGCAACTGCCATCTCTTGGCTGGAGGCCAACCAACACAGTCTATCACAGAATATCTAGGTAGAATAACACTGCATCCTGGTAGGAGAAAGCTTGTGCACGATTTCAGCTACCATCATTGCCTGCAACTCTGAAAGGAACCCTTAAAACTCTGAAAATACATGGAAATTAAGTAATCTGCTCGTAAATGTTTTTGGGTTAAAAATAAAATCAAAATGACAAGTAATATCTTGAAATATATGATAATAGTGACAGACTTATCAAAACCTCTGGGATACAGAAAAAGCAATTCTAACATTAAATGCCTACATCAAGAAGTCTGAAAGCACAAATTGATCACCTAATGTCACACTATGAACTAGAGAAACGGGAAGGAACTAAACCAAAAGCTAGCAGAAGGATGGGAATAACGAAGATCAGAGCAGAACTAAATGAATTGCAATTAAAAAATCACAAAAGATCAATGAAACTAAAAGCTGGTTCTTTGAAAAGATCAACAAAACTGAGACCATTAGTGAGATTAACTAAGAAAGGAAGACAGAAGTTCCAAATAAGATCAATTAGAAATGAAACTGGGCACATTACAAACAATACCAGAGAAATTTAAAAAAAATCATTCAAGACAATTAAGAACACCTTTATGTGCACAAACAAGAAAATCTGGAGTAAGTGGATAAATTCCTGGAAACATACAACCCTCCTAGATTAAATCAGGAGGAAATAGAAACCCTGAACAGACCAATAACAAGCAGCAAGATTGAATCGGCAATAAAAAATTGTCAACAAAAAAAGTCCAGATTCAGATGAATCCACAGCTGAATTCTAACAGACAGTCAAAGAAGAATTGGTACCAATCCTACTGAAACTATTCAAAAAGATAGAGAAAGAGGAAATCCTGCCTAAATTATTTTATGAAGCCAATATCATTCTAATACCAAAACCAGGAAAGGACATAACCAAAAACAAAACAACAAACAAACAAACAAAATAACTGTAGACCAATCGCCCCCATGAACATAGATGCAAAAATCCTCAAGAATATACCAGCTAACTGACTCTATCAGCACCTCAAAAAGATAATACATCGTGATCAAGTGGTTTTCTTCCCATGGGTGCAGGGATGCTATGACATACACAAGCCAACAAATATGATATATCGCAAAAAGAGGATTAAAAACAACCATATGATCATCTCAATAGATGGCAAAAAGCAATTAATAAAATCCAGCATCCCTTTATAGTAAAAACCCTCAAACAAAGTAGGCATAAAAACCATATATAACAAACCCATAGCCAACATCATACTGTGTGGAGAAAAGTTGAAAGCATTCCCTTGAGAACTGGAACAAGAAAAGGATGTCCAATTTTTACCACTTCTATTAAACATAGTACTGGAAGTTTTTGCCAGAGTAATCAGGCAAGGAAAAAAAAAAGGGCAACCAAATTGGGAAAGAGTAAGCCAAAGTATTGCTGTTTGCCAATAATATGATCATATACCTATAAACTCCTAGAGATTCATCCAAAAGGCTCCTCTATCTGACAAATTTAATAAAGTCTCAGGTTACAAAATCAATTTACAGAAATTAATAGCATAGCTATTCAACAACAACCATGCTGAGAATCAGATTAAGAACTCAAGCCATTTACAACAGCTGCAGATAAAATCCCTAGGGATAAGCTTAACCAAAGATATGAAAGATCTCTACAAAACAAACAAAACAAAAAACCACTGCTAAAAGAAATGATACATAACACAAACAAATGGAAACACATCTCATGCTTATGGATAGAAAGAATCAATAGTATAAAAATGGCCATATTCTAAATTTATGTGGAACCACAAAAGGGCCTCAATAGCCAAAGCAATACTAAGCAAAAAGAAGAAATCTGGAGGCATTATAGTACCAGACTTCAAATTATACTACAAGGCAATCGTTACAAAAACAACATGATACTGGTATAAAAATGGGCACTTAGATCAATGAAACAGAACAGAAAACCCAGAAATTAGGCCAAATACTAATCTTTGTTTGCAAAGCAAATAAAAACATAAATCAGGGAAAAGAACCCTATTCAATAAATGGTGCTGGGACAACTGTTAAGTCACATGTAGAAGAATAAAACTGAATGCCATCTCTCACCTTATACAAAAACCAACTCAAGATGGAGCAAAGACTTAAGTCTAAGTCTTGAAACCATAAAAATTCTAGAAGATAACACTGGAAAAACTCTTCTTTACATTGACCTGTACGTTGGCCTCAGCAAAGAATGTCTCTAAGACTCCCAAAAGCAAATGCACAAAAAAGCCAAAATAAATACATGGGACCTAATTAAACTAAAAAGATTCTGTGCTGCAAAAGAAATAATTATGAGGGTAAACAGACAACCTACAGAATGGGAGAAAATTTTTGCAAACTATGCATCCAGCAAAGGGATGGAGGAAAGAGCAAGGGAAAGGAATGGAGAATATTAGCAGCTGCCAGGCACTGCACGGTGCACATCCCAGGCACTTCCCATGTAATCCTCATCATACTACGAAGCAGGGAATATTCCACGTTACACATGAGGAAACTGAGGCTTAGAGGTTGACCGATTTCCCCAAGGTCATTGGCATACCAATGGAAGGAACTATCTCCTGTTTTTTTTTTTTTAAGGAAAAGAAAAAAGAAAAAAAGAATAAAGGAGAGGAAGAAAGAAGAAAAGGAAGAGGGAGAGAGAACAGGAGTGTTGCTTATTTGCCCAGCTAGAATGCAGTCTAAAACTGGGTATTGAAAACCTCTTTTATGCCAATAATTGTGCTTAATAATGGAGACAGGAAAAAATGAGGGAAGAAAATAACAAACAAGCAGCCAACCAATATTTCATTTAAACCTGTGAGTAGGTGTGATGTGGTACTGATGAGAGTGTATATTTTGTGTATTTGAAGTGGAGAGTTCTATAAATGTTTATTAAGTTTACTTGTTCCGGATCTGAGTTCAAGTCCTGGATATCCTTGTTAATTTTCTGTCTCGTTGATCTGTCTAATATTGATGTTGAAGTCTCCCACTATTATTGTGTGGGAGTCTAAGTCTCTTTATAAGTCTTATGTATCTGGGTGTTCCTGTATTGGGTGCATATATATTTAGGATTGCTAGCTCTTCTTGTTACATTGATCCTTTTACCATTATGTAATGTCCTTCTTTGCCTCTTTTGATCTTTGTTGCTTTAAAGTCTAATTTATCAGAGGCGAGAATTGCAACTTGAAGTGACTTTCAAGTAATAAATTTGAACATAACAATGATGAGAAAGACGTCATCATTCTCTGCCTTTTATTTTAGTTTTAATACATGAATATGTGCGAATAAATTGGAACTAATAAGCACAGTTCATCCACAACTACTGAACCAGTTACAGAACTGTCACCTCCACAGAATCACATTAAGTATATGTGCATTCATGCTCATCATAGGCACAGTACCTTTGAAGTGTAGAATATGTCTTCTCTCTTCACACTGCCATCTGCAATCTTGCTTCTAATGGCCAGTCCAACTTGCTCCTCATTATTGTATAAATGAGCAGAATCTATATGGCGGAACCCAGCTTCTATTGCTAATTTGACAACCTCCATAGCTCTATTCCTTGGAACCTTAAGAAGAAACAAAAAGTAGTATTTGGTGATTAATGTACTTGAGAGGTAGTGAAATGGGAAAAGTTTCCTTGTTCTCCTCACAGGGTGTGCAAGGGCATGTGCCTCACTTCTTCAGTGCCCCACTACTCACACCTCTAGGGGAGCATACAGATGGGCAGGTTGTGACAATGTCTAGGGGTGGATGTTTATAGCCCCTGAAGCCCCAGTGGGCGTGTGTTACAGGGTGCTCTTTTAGCTTTGCCATCTACAGGCTTGTGTTAACCAGATCAATTAGACCCTCTACCTTGTCGCAAGGACAGAGGGCTTTCCGTATCCTGGGTTCTAGCCTTGGTGTCTGAAAAGAAACAGATCACACCTGGTCTTGGAGAATGAGTGCAAGGTTTTATTGAGTGGAGGTAAGTTGGGGAAGTCAGAAGGGAATGGAGTGGGAACGTTTTCCCCTGGAGTCGGGCTGCTCAGCAGCCTGGGCTGTCTTCTGACTGCTCCAGCCAAACTCAGTGCCATTCTGCTTCTGCCAGTATGTGGCCTGCTGGCGTGCTGGTACCTTTCAATGCGTTTCTCTAGATATCTAGCCACCTGTACGTTCCTCCGCTGATGTGCTTCTCTCCACATCCAGCTGCCTGTGTGTTCCTCTGCCTATGTGCTTCTCTCAAAGTCCAGCTGCTTCTGTCTCTGCCTTGGTAGGATCTCGGGTTTTTATAGGCACGGGATGGGGACATGGCAGGCCAGGGTGGTCTTGGGAAATGCAACATTTGGGCAGGAAAATAAAAATTCCTGTCCTCATCTAGGTCTGTACAGGTGGACCCTAGCCAGGGACTATGGCCTCCTCTACCCAGCACTTCCCTTCCCTGCTTCTGTATCATTTAAAGGAACCACGCTCTTCCTTTTCCAGCATTTCTGTATCAGTAGTTCAGACACCAGCAACAGCCTTCACAAACATCACGTTATCCTTGTGTCTTGAGTTAGTTCTATATGTGGGGTTATAAACCCATCCCAATTTGCTTTAGTCTTTCCTGGTTAATAATAAAGGCTGGGTATCTCTGGAACTCTTCAGTCCCGGGCAGTTACTGGTTAATCACTAGCATTAGTGATTAGTTGAGTTTCCCAACAACAACCTCAGATGTAGTCATTTGTTGGAAAAATTAACAAGATTCAACTTATAAATATAGTTATTTTTATTATTATTTGAGACAGAGTCTCACTCTGTCACTCAGGCTGGTATAAAGTGGCATGATCTTGGCTCACTATAATGGGATTACAGGCATGAGTGACTCCATGCACACTCCTAATTATTTTTATTATAGTGAAATGAACACATGGAAAAAGGCACATGGAAGAAACTATGGAAAGAATACAGTGTAAGTTCCTATGATTCGTCTTTCAATGATATTGCAGGAAACACACTACTTCCTCCAGGATCACATTTTGACAACATAGGGGAAATGTCTACAAGGGATGCTATTGGGGACTCAATCCCCAAGATTTTAACTGGGTGCTGGTTACATTGACCCAGTCTGTATAGCACACACCAAACTTCCAGTCTTGTAAAGAAAGCAGGTATATAGAAACCCCACACTTTGTACAAGTAGTTAATTATAGACACCACCCTTATCAGTTACGAAAGGATGAGAAATTCAACTTCTCAGATACCAGCCAGGCTCCAACTTTGAAAACATCTGCATCTATGGGTGACACTCTATAGCGCTGACTCTTTCTACACAGCCATTAGCCATTCTGTGTGCATGACAGAACTAAGCACAAGGAGTAAAGACACATACTCCAAGTATGTAGACTTATACATAAGAAATTAACTGCAAGCTGTAAGGGAATAGTAAAGTATGCTTTAGTCTTAAAAAATAAGGCCAACTTTTTTAGGAAAGATATAATTTCAGTGAAATTTAAAATTATTGACTTATCTACCAAATTTGGATAAAGATTTGAAAGGTATCTTTTTTAAACAACAAAGCCATACATAGAACAATTTTCTATTTTAATATGAGTATTTCAGAAGCTCTCTATTTCCAGTAATATTAAAAAGAACCAGATGTCAGGTCTCACTGCCTTCCTCTGATACCAGCCCTGATCTCTTTGCTGTGCAGGCACTCAAGTTTACCAAGGCTGGAGCTTCAGTGCTGTGGTTTCCTTACTTCCTCTTCATGACAATTGCATTACAAAGTAAACTGCTAGTGTTGATGGTCTTCAAGATGTCTCTCTGTAAATTCTTACAATGTACAGTTGAGAAAAGTAAGACAAATTTTATGTGACTAGTCCCTATTCACATACTTAGTAGCCTTGGAATACAAGTTTTCTTCCTGTGGAGAAATAGTTCAGTCTAGAAAATAAAGTCTCCATTTTGCCTGCTTTCATGTCAGAGGACCACCCCTATCATTTTTATGCAAATCTGATGCATGTTAACATGGACCAAAAATTCAAAATTTCTCTTGTGAGGTTCTCGTTTTTTCTTAAAATAAGGTTATTTATCCTGTTACATAATTTTCCTAGTGGTGAGAGATGTACAGGGTATTGTAGTAAGTCCAGGACGGGTATTACTGTGTCATGCTCAAGGCTAAGCGGCAGCTCTGCAATTCTCTCCAGACAGTTTTCATGCACCCCATCTTTAGGCACTGTTGCCACAAAGGTTTCTTTTGATCATGTCTAGTGGAAGAATAAAACATTTATTCAATTTTAGAAATTAATGAAGAAGCCATTTTCACTGCGGTCATCTCCTAGAAAGGGAATTGCCAGTCAGCGTCCTTCACTGTTGAGTTCTGTATATTCTGCCAAGTTGGGCAATACACAGAAACAGAAGAAAAAAAGGACAGAAACAGAAGAAAAAAAACAGTGTACAAAATAAAAATAAGCAGTAAATTACCATATGACAGACGTGAATGCAAAACAAACATTGACTACCTTTTCTCTTTGAACATAGAATAGCTCTAGCCTAGTAAAACAGAGCACATAAGTCACGCAGAGTAACAGAAACACAAAGCTGAACAACTCAGATCATCGTCCACTTATTCTAGCTTTGCTCTTTTAAATGCTCAACACTGAAAATGTGATTGTTACCTCTGGAGGTGCATAGGTACCAAATCCCAATACAGGCATGAAGTTACCATCATTTAGCTTCACACGCTGACATGTGGGATCCATTGCATGTCACTGCTTTCGTTAAGCAGACCTGTTTCCTTCTTCAACATCTGGTATTTATATTCACAGGTTATATAAACAATAGGCACAGGTTATATAAACACGGGCTTATGCTGATGGGTTATATAAGTATGGGTTATAAAAACAATGATTGATCTACCAAATTTAAATAAATATTTGAAAGGTGTATTTTTTAAATGACAAATCCATAAATGAAACAATTTTCTATTGTAATGTAAGTATTTCAGAAGTTTTCTTTTTCCAATGAAATTAAAAGGAACTAGATGCCAGGTGTCAGGTCTCACTGTCTTCCCCTGACACCAGCCTTGACCTTTTCTTTGCTGTGCAAGCACTCAAGGTTGACCAAGGCTAGAGCTTCAGTGCTGTGCTTTTCCTCACTTCCCCTTCATGCCAATTTGCATTACAAAGTGAACCGCTCCTGCTGGGGGTCTTCAAGGTGTTTCTCTGTAACCCTTACAATGTATAGTTGAGCAAGTTGAGACACAAATTTTATGTGACTAGTCCTTATTAACACACTTAGTCTTGGAATACAAGTTTTCTTTCAGTGTAGCAATAGTTCAGTCTAGGAAATCAAGTCTTCATTTTGCCCACTTCCATGTCGGAGGACCACCCCTATCATTTTTATACAAATCTGATGCATATTAACACAAACCAAATGCTGCAGTGGTCACTGTCTGGGGCTGATCAATGTCATGTAGAAGGTAACAAGTGACAGTGCATTACACAGGCTGTGAAGAAAATTGAATCCGGTTCACTTGTTTCTTATCAAAGAGAATTTTTAAGTACATTATTATATAGTCAAAATGAGCTATTATTTCCAAAGTAAAATTTTCTATTCAGGATATATCTAAATATCTATCTAATAAACTCATCCAACAGATTTGTAGAATGATTAGTGATCATATGTTATAGTATAAAATACTTACGGCTATAAATCTCGTTTTTGTTCATGCCATGATGATATCCCATCTTTATCTTGTGTCATTTGAAATAATCAACCATCTTACATCTTTCTCTCACACAGGCAGTATTCAAAAGAATGACTAGTGAGCGTTTTTTTAAATGGTGACCCTTAATGAAGAAATTAAACAAAACCAAAGAAAATTTCTCTTTTTACTTTTCTGTCAGAAAATTAATTTTGTTTCTTCTTTCTTTTAATTATAGTAGGAATATTCATTCCAAATAAAGGTGCAATCATGACGATGTGGCAATCCTGCAAGGGTTCAAAGGGAAAAGGAAACAGAAATTCTGACATGATGTTTATCTCAGTATTAATCATTAAAAATGTTTGGACTTTGGGCATCATCTGCAATATGCAAACACTGCTTTAATAGTATTTGTATTTTCCATCCAGTTTTTTTCCCCCCATTTATTTATTTTATTGCATTTTAGGTTTTGGGGTACATGTGAAGAACCTGCAAAATTGTTGCATAGGTACACACGTGGCAGTGTGATTCGCTGCCTTCCTCCCCATCACCTACATCTGGCATCTCTCCCCTTGCTATTGCTATCTCTCCCCAGCTCCCCACCCCCCACCGTCCCTCCCCTATTTCCCCCCAACTGACCCCAGTGTGTAGTGCTCCCCTCCCTGTGTCCATGTGTTCTCATTGTTCAACACCCGCCTATGAGTGAGAACATG